AAGTGCTGTAATTTTGAGGAGTAGTTCAGGTGACTTCAGTCTGTCCTCTTAAGAAGCTCTTCACTGTGAATTATCTTGATCATCTGTCTTCGTATATATTCCACAGGAGCATCTCAGCTCTCAGTTTGTCTCAAGTCTCAGGAGTTTACACTTTTCAGGAGCGCCTTGTTTGGGGATTTTAGAAGCAAAAATCTCTCTGAAATGTCTTTTCTTTCGTTTAATTTTTAAATCTCTTTCTGTGGCTCTTAATGGTGGTTCTTAATTTGGCTCGCAGGGTTTTTTGGAAGACTTCCTCTGGTACTGAATTAGCCGGGAGAACGCAGGTAACAAATGCATGTTCCAGGCCATTGCTGAGTTGCAGTCTTTATATTAGCTGGGGTGCAAATCTCTGTAAACGAGTGCTTTTGTCTTCTGGACTTCTGTTCATACAGTGAAAATGAAGCTGGAATGACACCTAGTGGCAAATTGTAGTGTGTCCTTGTCCAAGTACAGCCCTTTTCTGCTTATGTTCCCACTGTTCCGGGGTGAGATGCTCTTTACAAAGAGGAATCTGGGTTTGGTGTGCTGAGTGATGGTCCTGGACCACACCTGCAGTCCCAGATGTTCAGCAACCTTCTCAGCGTGGCACTGTTTTCTCCTGTTCTGATCCCGAAGAACAGCATTTTAGCCCACGTGGGTGAGCATGAGTCCACGTGCACCCACTGGAAGGCGTGCTCAATGCTGGGGAAAAGACGTGTGTGGATTATTTTTTTTTTTTGAGGATTATTGGAAATAAATGTGAAAAAGTCTTCCGGAAGCAATGTTAAGTGGTCTACAGACGTGCATCCAGATTTTTGAGTACGTAATGTATTTTTCTATGCATTTTGCTAAAACGGCAATTATTTGTCTAGGTTTGATTTACTTCTTACCCTTCTCAAGCTTCTAAAAACCAACATGTCAACCCAGTAGCGGTAGAAACCCCCTTCTGCAGCTTCCTGCAATCCAGAAGAAGTCTGTGCTGTTTAACGCTGAGATTGTGATAGCATCCAGATGCTCCTGCCAGCTCCTGGACTGCGTTGTTCTTGGAAACGTGCAACCATACGTGAGGGACAGCTCTATAGCCTTGTGAGGAGGGTAAGCCCAGACAAAAGGGCTCTGACCTGCTGGCTTCCATAATAATGTGGAAACCAGCTGCAGTGTAGGGCCTCCGTTACGTATTTGTTTTGGAAATGATAAACCCTCAAACTCTTTAACTTCTTCGGAATTTGGATATTTTCTTCTTTTAGGTCAGATATTTTCTGCTGTGGCAATTTACATTCTTTCTTATACCCTGCTCTGTTTCTCAGTCCTGTTTTCTACCAGGGCGTTTGGTGAAGTACTAATACTGTCAACTTTTATGTAATGCCCAAACTGGAATAGGAGTCGTGGTTAACTCGTCAGCAGCTCTGGATTTGGCTCTGCAGGAGCTGTGGTGAGTCCTGGAGCAAGGTAAAAGCATCTGTATGGTGCCTTGCAGGTGGGAGAAGGCTCCCTTTGAGGACCCTGCAGTGCAGGGTCAGCTCAAGATGATCTGGTACAACCTAGGACATCTACTGCGTGGCTGTTACAGGCCTCTTATTAGGCTGCGTGGGGCCATAGTCTTATTTTAAGTGGCGATGCTAAAGATTTGGAGGGTTTGAGGTGGGGTAAGTTAAAATCTCAATTGTTTGACTTAATTTCGTTTTCTAAATGATGTAAAGCAACACAGAGATCGGCTTTCGGAAGGGATCACACCCTCTGGAGGAGTTGCAGACTGTTCTCTGGCAGCAGTGTGAGCCCTTGGATTTGCAGGGCGGGTGGTTGTGTCCTGGCCTCTCACCAGCTCGGCTTCGTCCTGGAAAATATCACAAAGTGCCTGTGCCACTCGGTGCCGGATACCCAGCCCCAAGTTGCCTACACCACTCTTGCGAGGTTTTTGGTGCTTTTTTTGACCACTCAGTGTCCTCTTTCAGCCTGGATTAAGAACGCAGCTCTTGGGTGCTGCGCAGGCAGGTGCCTGCATGTCAGCTGTGCCTTACTGAGCGGTAAATTTGCCAAAAAAAAATGTGAAGCTGCAGGGATGTGCGGTGGCAACGGCTTCATGGAGCTTGGTACCTTCCACCCTCGGTGTCCCTGTGGTGGAGGGATCACGGGAGGCAACGCGCTGCTGCCTACCTGATGGCATTTTTTTCCTTCGCCCGCTGTCCTCCCCTGCGCCGTAATACTGTAGATCCCTCGTGTGTGACGGGCGAGCTACTCGCTGCTGTTGCAAATAACGTTGCACTGTGTTTGTCTGCTGAATGTGGAGGAGATCCGCGGCTCCAACGAGGTGCGTTAGAACCGAGCAGCTCCTGCGAGCACGCCCAGATGCCGTGAGTTTTCCTGTTGCCTTTCACTATGGGAAGACACCTCCCGGGAAGCTCTCGGGACCGGAGGTCTTCCAGCACTTGCTGTTATTTTTGGTTGCCAAATTTCCGGTGCTGGGTTGGAACGGCTTGGAAGTAACTCCGGTTGTGTCCCATTAGCCTCCTAACAGGGCTGTTTTGAGAAGCATCCAGTTCTGTGACTTGCCTTTTGAGTCCTGTCTTTACACTAAGGACTGTCTTGTAGGATGAGGTCTGAACCATTGTAATTAGTCTGTAACGTTACGATTAGAGTGTACAGAATTATTTATTTTGTGTACTCTGTCCGCTAAACATGTAAATGTATTCTGTGTACCCCATCGCTCTGCTGTCGTTACTTCTGGCTCACGGATGGCGCAGGGGCTGACTGCTGAAAGACGCTGCTTTCCGGGCTGTGAACGATGGTCAGTAAACACATGGAAAGCCAGGAGCTGCTCTCCCCTCTAATATGTTCTTGGTGCACTGCAAGAAGGTACCAAAGGGCCTGTAGAAGTTTGCTCGTTTCTTTAATGCAGGTGCCAGGCCAGGAGCTGCTGGAGGGAAGACCTTGTGCGGGGCTGGGATGTCCGCAGGGATGCTCCAAGTGAGTTGGGCTCTCAACCTCTTGCTGGAAGGCAGGGTTTGGAGGCTGAAGAGGCACTTTGGGACATGTTGTTCACTTTTCTTTGACTGCAAGGTGGCAAACAGGGCCAGAAAAATACCCTGGTTTGCCCACAGCAACTCTCTGGTTTCACTCTAGGCAGCTTTTATGGGCCAGCAGGAAAACCTGTAATATCAAGTGAAAAATGCACGCTCCTTTCGAACCACCTCCTCCTGGAAGTGAGGTGATTTTTCAGGGGCAAGGGACCCCGTCCCAGCAGTGGTAGGGGTGACAGTGACCTGAACACTCAGAGCAAATGACCCATTGTGCTGCAGTTCATTAATTCCTGTCTGAAGCTCCACGTGGCCACCAGTTTCTTCTGCCCTTATGGCCCATCCCCACATCTCTGACGTTCAACTGTCTTTAAGGTCATTTACGAGCTAACTAAAGCCAAGCAAGAGTGTGCTGCTTTCATGTGATGGGTTTTATTTCAGATACCACGGAGTGAAAGCACACTCTAAATGTCATGCCAGACCGGTGGGACCGGGGTGTACCTAGTGCAGCTGCTACCGCTGCCCTTAGGGGAGAGTTGCAAGGAGCTCAGCCCTCGTGTCCTTCTCCCCTATGTCCCAGGCGAGGCTTTCCAAGGCAGAGGAGCCCAGGCCGGCAGCTTCACGGGTTTCTCTGCAAGCCCCTGTTCTCCCACGTCAGTTTGCTCCGGTTGTTCTTGCTCCCTGCAGAGCAGACCACTAAATGAAGCTAAGTTTTATCCAACCCAGCTGAAACTTATCAGCCCTGAGCTGTACTTGAGCAGCTTTTTTATTTTTTTAAACTCAAGCATATGGGCCAACCTTTTTGTCCTTACCTTCCACTCGTGATCTGTAACCTTTCGCACGGGTATGTCTCTGTAGCGTCATGCTTTCTCTGCGACTGCTTGATATGAGAGCGATTACAACATTTTGGGGGCTGTGATTCACGCAGCAAAGGTTTTATATCGCATTCACATCACTGGTAAAGAAAAAAACCCCACGCCTCATGTTGGGACGGTCTGATCCTGCCCGTCTCCACTGTGTCCTCGTGGCCAGCTCTATTTAAAGCTGCTGGGAACCAGGTTTTTATTCACTGACCATGTGTGAACACAAGACCTTTTT